GAAATAATAGAAAATTATTAAAAAAACTCGATAAATATAGATATTTATACTTTTCGAGATATTTCCGCTTAAAAATTTTTCGAAAACCCAATGTATCAGGAGAGAATTCTGAATTTCTAATTTTTCTATGTTTTTATTTTTGTAAGCATTTTTAAGTATTTTTTACCAGGAAGCAGGAGATTTTGAACTAAATAATTTGCCATACCATCTTATTATGTATTATATTTTCCTACTAATTTTGATTCATTAATTTGTATGCAACGAGACATCTTAATTTACTTATCTGATCTCTTGTTTTTTATCTGTTTGAAATATTTTTGTGTTTGCAGATTATTTTTATTTTCTTATCTTATCTTAATTGAAAGAACACAAAATTTGAATTTTTTTAGTTTATTTAAATCTATTAAGTATAATATGATTTGAAACTATCTTGTGCAATGTATCCATAAATAAATAATACATTTATTCTTAGAGTATTGAGAATACCTAGTATTTGCTGATGAGTGTGATGTATATCTATTTACAGATGATACATAACTTGAATCGCATCCATAAATGACCAGGATTTGGAAAGTTAATACTGATTCGATCCTTGAAGCCGATATTTTTAATAAATTTTACGGAGGACTGAGCGGTCGCATCTCTAAGTAGAGTAGGTCCGTATGTGGTCAGTCATCTTGAAGTAAATAAGCCCGTAGTCAGACATCCTAAGTAAAATTAGTCCGTATGTTGTGAAACATCTTTTAGTAGAATTTGATATACGTTTTCTTTGCCAAATAGCGTGATATTTTCTTAGAAAATACGATGAGAACATAATTAATATTTTAATCGATGAAGGAAACAAAAAATTTGATTTATCGCAAATAGATGTGCCGTTCAGTATTCCTACATTTTTTTCGATTTGTCGTTTTCTGAAAATTTTCCTCGAGAAAATGAAAATATACAATAACAGAACAAAATAGACGTACGCTAATTTTAAAATCATTGTATAGCAGTATAAACGGTTCTGAAAATTATAACCGACAGATATAAAACCCAGAATCGATATACGTGCGAACCGATATCCTACGTATGAAGGACCCTAATCGAAACCGATGGCAACAGAAATTTTGATCCTTCCTAACAATTATTAAGACTAATCGATGCTTCACAATTGTTTCAAGGACCGAAATCGATATAAGGCTAATGTTATTGTTGATTGATTTACGTAACTAAAATTATACTAATCTCATCGACTACGACAAGCAATTTCAAAAAGCTTAGATTGCACAGTGACTTTATGGCGACTCAAGACAAATGGAAAAATTCTTTCACTCACGTCACGCATCCTTTTTTTACCACTGCAATGTGCTGAGTATCTGTTTCTATAGCTTAACATGACCACGTCCCTATACGTTTAAATCCTCTCTATATCAGTGTATGGCTAGTGTATGGCTAGTATGTCAAGTTCGATGGCATTTGGATCTTTCTCAGAATTTGGATTTTTCACATTCTTTGGCCCTTTAACTTACAATGAAACTGCAAGCTAAGTTTGCAACTAAAACTACAAGGTAACTAAATCCTCTATGCTACAAATACAATTTTAATAGTAAAAATAATAATTGTTTTCCAGGTATGTCGACTTCTCGCAAATTGAAGCTTTCGCCCACGTAAACGGATCGATTTTATATAAGCGACGTTACGTACGGATATAATGAATCATGAAAGAGTCAAGTCCTAAGATAAACGGTTAGCTGGGAGGCTTTATAAAAATATAACTTGACAAATGGCACTGTGGACAACACGGTAGACATTACGATAATGACATGGTATGTGCATACCAAAAGAAATGTGGACAATATCTTGCGAACGGCAGAGGCAGCTTTCTATAGGTACTATACTTCTATAGGCTTTTCAAAGTCGCAGTTTATTTTATAGTGACTAGTGTTTTATAAAATTTCCCTCAGACTTTTGTGTGACGCGAGAATAAAGTACCTTTATTTTTCTGATTGAAGAATAAATAAATAGCCAATTTTTATGGAATTTCTCCCTTCAAACGATAAAACAGTAACCGAGTTATTGTTATTGTTTAATCAGATATAATATCAAGTGATCCTTGAACAACACGATTCTACTTCCAATTTTCTTAAATAATTTCAAACACTTATCTACTTCGAGTCAATTTCGTTCGTTGGCGAATAATTTAAGACCGTAAAGCAATACGAATATAATTCCTACCTAAATTACCTTTCCTCGCGGAAGGAATGAAATGTGCATTAAATAAAATTGACGTTACTATGATAAATGTTCTCAACGTATTAAAGAGTATAATTAATTAAATAATACTTACTTTACTACAATCTCTTCAGCATCCTGGTATCCAAATACTAACAAATACTTCAATTACACGATTAATTATATTAATCTCTTATTCTCTTGGTAGAACATTCAACGAATTACCTCTCTTAGTCGAATCCTTATTGAAACTCTCCTCGGATAAAAACATGAACGTTCTGAGGCCAGCTTTTAACATATTAATCGTTTGCGGATGTTGGATGCCATCGTTCTGTCGAACATCCTGCGCAAAGCTATTTTATAATCTGTACACGACGTTCGTGATACTTTTACTGCACAGTTTCTGCATATCGCAATTTTTGAACGTAATACTGAACGTGAGTACGGCGGACGAGTTGAGCGACAGCTTGTACATGTTCATCGCCTCTGTTCTTTCCTGCTGCAAGATCCTCGCGCTTCTGATTAACCGCAAGGCGATTGGAGCTCTTGGCAAGCAGCTGGAACAGGAGCCGTGTAAACCAGTAGACACGCAGGAAATTATAGTCCAAAGGAAATTCGACAGAAGCATCGGGTAAATGAATGGTACATTCATACGTTCTTGAAAACATTGAACGTGCCCGTACGTTCGATGAGAAATCGTCGATGCTTAAAACAGCTTTGCGACAAAGTCGTGAGAAAATTCAACTGGAAGCCTATTTTTATATCATACAGCGGACTGGAAAGTAAAGATATTCCTCCTCTCGAAAATTATGTAAATTCAAACTCGCTGAAATTTTTTTTTTTGGCAAAATTCACCAGGATCTTAAAGATTGAAGCCTTCTCTTTACAACTTCAACTCTCTAGACTTCAGAATTTGTGATTTTTTCCCTTTCTCTAGCATTTTACTGAACTTTGAATATTAAGGTTTAAAGAAAAGTTGAATCTTTTGAAATTTCGCCGTGTAAGCTTAATATTCAAGGTTCAACAAAATGACGGGAAAAAGGAGATCTTCAATGTTCAAGATCACAGTGGATCATGTCATAGAAAAAAATTTTGTACAACTTTTACAATTTTCGAGAATAAATTTATCCTCACTTTTCCACTCGTTATGTAATGTACAAGTTGCTTTGAAAAAACATGAGATCAGAGTCTTGAAAATAGAAGCTTCACGCTTTAAAATGAACCTAGCTGCATTATTGTACGATAATATTCTGAAATATTAATAATTTTTCTATTTGATTATGACACAGAAAACGACGAGTCTCACACTCGATGAAGAATTATCGATTTTAAATTATTGTAACTTTGTGAAAAGAAACCGCAAACTAACGCAACTGAGCTCACTTTAAATCATGAAGCTTCTATGTTTACAACACTAAGCTCTCTTCACCCAATGATGTTTTTACACCATTTTTAAAAGGCCAAATAAAGATACTCCTTCTGTCGAAAATGTTGCCAATTCAAACACCTTTATGAAGACTGAAAAAAATTTTTTTATAAACAAATCCATCATCATCTTGAAGACTAAAGTCTTTCCTTTGCAACAACCCCTTAAAATTCCTTGCACGATTCTTCTTCACGAAGTTATAAGTGTTTAAAGTGTGTCAATAATTTTTCATTTCAAGCGTAGTTTCTGTATCCATTTTGAATATGTAAATCGATTGACGAGACTTTACGTTTGCTTTGCAGATCGATCACGATTTTCTACACTATCATGGTGATGCTCACAGTTGCCTGTATGATATTATTCTCGTTCCTCACCGACTTCAGTAAACTCAAGCTCGCGTACAGAGCCTGGCTACCTTTCAACTATACCGTGCCAAATTACTATTACATGGCGTACGCTCATCAGATCGTTGCTCTGATCGGTACGGCGCTGTTGAACGTGGCCTGTGACGTGTTGGTTTGCGGATTGTTCGTCCATGTTTGCAGCCAACAGGAGATCCTGAAGCACAGAATAAAGGGACTGACGAAACAATCGAGACCTGACATTCGAAAAATCGTGCGTTTCCACGATTATTTGTACAGGTTGGTCTTGTTTGCTCGAATGAGATGCGATAAAAGATTGTCGTATATAATAGAAAAGTCGAATTTATTAATGTACTGTGTAGAAGAAAAGCCGTGAAGCACCAAGGGAAATACATGTTTTTCCTTCGATTACGATATGTCAGAATAAATCATTCAGCAAAAGAAGAATTTAATCATAATATTTTATATAATAATTCGTTTTGTTATATTCGAAAATTCTGCCCCTTAAGAAAGAAGTAATGGACTATTCAATAAGGGAAAAAGTCTAATAATAATATCTCAGAATGTAATAATAATACCTGTATGTTTATATCCTAAGATTTAACTTAGAAAATTGTTGTGTTTTGTCATACAGGTACACCTCGATTATACAAACGAGGTTCAAGGAAATAATAGGTATTCAACTTTTATCCAGTACTCTCGTGGTGTGCTTTATCCTATACCGATTGTCGAACACGCCAATAAATTCCAAATACGTGGAATTCATTCTATATTTGGTCTGCATGATGATGCAGATTTTCTTTTACTGCTGGTATGGCAATCAACTGAAATTGAAGGTAAATTTCATTCGTCCAAATTGCCTTCGTAATTATGGATTTATTGCTTCTTTATGTAATGAATATTTATTTTATTTATATTTCCTTTCATATTTGTGGATTATTTTAATTCCAAAACTGTATATGTGCACGAATAGAGCGTCGAGGTTGTGGATACAATTTTTGAAATGGATTGGGTGTCGCTCGATAACCACACGCAAAAGTGTTTGATCAATGTAATGAGAAGAGGCATCAGTCCGATCGAACTGACCTGTGTCTACGTTTTTAAGATGGACCTGAGAACTTTCGTGAACGTTAGTAAATGAAATGGAACATAATCGTAGATGAACCAGACGAAAGTATTTGAATATTTACTGCAAGAACATTTTATAAATATGTCATTATTATTATTATTATTTTAAAATTTCACTGGTAGAAATATGAACAAAAATGTGATTCTTAATGATCATATTTAAGATTTTCGAGCAGTGAATTATTCATAATAATAATAATAAGTTTTGGAGTTAATCTTCAAGATAATTTTCAAAACGTTTTGTCTAACACACATGGTACATCTAAAAAAAATACCTAAACTGATCACAAACCTTCGAATATTTTCGTGATAACATCGTTTATTTTCTGATAATATTCTGATGTTAAATTTCTCACAGATATTGAAGATGTCGTATTCGACGTACAATTTGCTTCAAAGGAAGAAGGAAATCGTAGAATAAACACAAGGGACCTTTGAATTGCCAAAACTTGACTCTGAACATTTCGAACTTTGAACACTTCTCTAACGAACGAATCTAACTTTTGGCGGAAATTGACCGACTGAATTTGTCAAACAGAAATTTATTAAAATTTAACTTACCTATTTCCACGAAGTGTGAGTGCCTTGTGCTCTCCATATCCTCTTGCCTTCTTTCCCATTCAAAGTGAAAAAGCATCCAGTTCATTTCAAGAGGAATTCCCCTACTTCGCCACTCGTTAAATATTCATTTCAATTGACTTATGCATCGAGCGGCCTATCCTCGGCTCGAAAATAAATAATTTTGCAAGAAATTCCTCCCAGAATTTGTTCCGTGTATCCACCGGGAAGTAGAGTAATGATATAGTTCACAGACCGAAAAGGGGAAACTTTTATGAACGATGAACGTTCGCATGAAGTATCGGTACCCTGTGCTTATACATCATCGTGCATGCTTAAATATATTATACGACAACGCATTTCATCGCGTTCCTCCATCACAAGTCTAGTTCGTCAGCATGCTTCACCAATAATATCCCGAGTCTTCGATTACTGTAAAGAGAGAAGTATTGTATTTCCAAGCAAGAACGAAAATTCGCAACACTTTGCCATCGTCCCTCTGAACAATCTTTTCATTTCTCTGAAAACTTTCCAAACGAAAGCCACGAAACTTGGTGATCATCGTTTGCGAATCTGTCAGCCTGAGAGGACGATGATCGAAAAACGATCGAACGTGAACGAAGACGATCATGTAATAGTATAAAAATATAGAATACAAATTGTAAAAAAAGAATTTGAAAAGACTGAGCGATGATGCGTCTGTTACGAGCGATATATCGTCTTCTGACAGTGTGTGCCTGCTGGCGACCACCGTTGCTGTCGCCGTTAAAAAACTTCGCATACACCATCTATCGTTGTTACATAATACTGCTGGTGTATGGTGGCACATTTCTTCAATTCGTTGACCTGATATTCATCGTGGAGACTCAAGACGAGTTTTGTGACAACGTTTACCTAACCCTGGCATTTTTCATTTCGTGCCTCAAGATGTACAGCGTGTTGTCCAGCCGTGGGAATATCGTCGCCATGATGAATATGCTCGAGACCGCGCCCTTTCAACCTGAGACGAAGGAAGAGATCGAGATTCGAGAAAAATGTGACAAACAGACCAGGTAATGTATTTTATATATATGTCGAACAATATATTGTGTAATGATAACAGAAGGTACATATCTGTAGATCTCTAAAATTCATCATTCAATTAAACTGATGTTCACTTTCTGTCTGATAGTACGATTTACGTATGTTTCAATGCGACTCTGAGATGATAATGTCGAAAATTATCAAATATGTTGCATAAGTAGAATATACCGCATAACGATAAAATCAAGAAAAGCAATTCAAACCTTGTACAAACCGTATATACGATGACAAAACTACAAGATTATAACTGTAATATGGTCATTTTCTTTTTCACACTATTCTATGACATCGTTACTTTGTGAATCGCTGCAGATCGAACGCGTTTTATTACGCACTTCTAGTCGAATCCTCAGTAGCAGCAATATCGGTGTCGACGTTGCCAATCGGCGGACTGCACAAAGATGAAAGTGGCAAGTTAATTTTTCGAATGTGGGTGCCTATCAACTGCACTTCGATAGCCAGGTACAGCTTCATTTACGTTCAACAAATTTTAAGTTTGACGTTCAGTGCTCTGTTGCACGTCGCCTGTGACAGCCTCATATGGGCTCTGTTGATGTTCACCTGCAACCAGATCGAAATCTTCGGTCATCGTCTGAGACACATCAAACGAGACCAGAACGAAACAACGAGACTGTGCATTCGTTACCATAATCTCATCTATCGGTACGGTATACCGTATGTATAATAATTTGATCGTTCAGTTTCCATCCACTTTCTTTTAATTGACGTGATGACAATGTCGCGAGCATCGAGTTAATTAATTTTTGAAATAATTCTTTTATTCTCTATTATAACAATTGAAATTATTTCGATATCGGCGATTTAATCGAAAGTTTTTTAGTACGATATGTAAAATAGATGTTTCACAGTTTTCCAAATTTGTTCTACACAAATTCACAGATTATTCAGTCAGAAGATTCTAAGCAACAAATTTCGTCGACGATTCTAGATTCGCCAGGATGATAAGTAAAGAGTTTGAGTTGGTAATTTTCGTTCAATTCGCAACGAGCACGCTGACGATATGCATCAATCTCTACATATTAACGGGAACGAACCTCTCGTTCGAAAGGCTTTTGCAATTGACTATGTACAGCAGCTGCATGTTAACGCAGATATACATTTTCTGCTGGTACGGGAACGAAGTTAAGTTAAAGGTACTGTTGTCCGTGACGATTAACGATTAACATTGTGATTCAGATACTTCAGATTCGTTGTCTGCTTTTCGTTCAGAGCCTCGACATTTCCAACATGATCTTCGAACTCGATTGGCTACCGCTCAAACAGACCACGAAACACGACTTGTTGATGGTTATGATGCGTGCAACGTCTCCCATAGAGATGACCAGTGCTTATGTCGTGACGATGAATCTGGAGTCATTCGTGATCGTTAGTATGAAGAAATTTATACTTGTTTGATATTAGAACTGCCAATAATATTCTTTAATATACTACAATTATGCATATCTATGTACAATATATATGCGAATTCATGAAAGATTTATAAATGCAAATAACATGCAAAATATGTAAAATGTAAAATATTCAAACTAAAGTGCTCTTTAGGATATTAAAAAAGAAAAAAAAATTTCTATCTGGCTGTGATACGTTTTCAATGTTCACGAATATCCGCACTCCGATTATACATTCAGTTAATTAGAATTAAAGCATATTTAGATGATAATGAATTCTCAATAAACCTATTATTATAATGTTAAATGTAATAAAAAAAACAAGTTAATATTAATGTAATAAAAAACAAAAAGTTTGATACTCTTGCCGCATTGCTAGTTCCAGTATGCCATAACGATGCAATCAGTATTTTGTACCATCGTGATTCTTTCTGTCGCAGTTGTTGAAAACTTCTTACTCGGCGTACAACTTGCTCCAAAGTAGCAGAGACTAGCGAACCAGGCAAACAGATACTCCACCATGGCGATTAGCGACAAACTACGGCGAGACGAATGGAAGAGAAATTTTCTCCTTCGTAGAAGAGAAAAAGTAGAGTCTACGTTAAATAAAACAATAAATAATATATAAGAGCATTAGGTTAACAGGAACTTTTCCCCTCTATCGTTGGTACGAAGCCTTTTAAATATTTATATATCCCTAGTTCTAATCCACCAAGTTAATAATTTATATATTTCAAATTTCATGTAATTGAAATATTATATATTTTTACAAGTGAAATTCAAAGATACAGTTCTGACGATTAGCTGGCTCGTTCGAGCGAACTCGATCGAGAGTATTCGTGGCAGTTAGTTGTTCTTAATATTTTCGAGCGGAGAATTTATGCTCGTCGAACTGAAATTTTCGTCGATTTAATGGATATTTGTCCAAATTGTATTTCAATGAATTAAATCGGCAGAAACATTGTTTATCAAGCTTATTGCTAGACCTGAACCCTCCCGAAAATATATGAAAATTGATTGATCAGCTTGGCGCGCAATTTATAAATACGCCAAGAATTTCAGAGAAACAGAGCGTAGAAAAATTCAAAGATGCCTTCTCTAAGATGGTCAGGCTTTCATTGATCTATCACCGTCCATTTGACAGTCTTCGTGGAAGAGAGTTTTGTACAGCGTCTACACGATCGCCGTGTTACCATTGCTCTTCAGTTTCGAGATTTTCCCGTTTCCGGTTCTGGATGACTTCAGTGAAAATTTATACGTGACGCCGGCGTTCTTTTCCAGCTGTTGCAAGTCACTCGTGCTGCTAATTTATCGCGGAGATATTTATCGAAATTTTAATGGACACTCTGCTGGAGGAATCTTTCTTGCCTGTGAACACAGTAGAGGACAAGACTCGAATGAAGTTCGAGGAACAAATCGAGTAAGTTGATATTAACAAATCATCGTCCTAAATGTAACATAAAAAAACTATTATTAATGAAATTCGATTAGTCCAACAATCTGTTATTAACTCAACTCTCTCTAATTTTCGCATTTTACGCACCCTCTTTTACTGATCCTGATGATGTTTAGATTCTTCCCAACATCTTTTCCGCTATCTTGTTCCCTAACCTTACCTGACCCTGTCATCTATAATTAACCTATAGTCTTATCACTAATTGTACCTAAATTACCCTGTAATTAGATGTAAGACGTAACTAACGTTTTAGTTAGTAAATATCAATGGCAATCGTCACGTTTGTATGCGTCTGTCTCTTCATTTTCAGATGGAACTCCAAAGCTTACACTATTGTGTTCGATGTCTACATGGTCTGGTTTTGGATAGACGGGTATTTCTTTTACAGACGCGGAAAATTGAAATTCTGGACACCTTACGATTACTCATCATCGCTTTTCTTTCTTGCTAGCTTTATCCATGAAATCCTAGCCACGATATTCAGCACGAACTTAAACGTCGTCTACGATTGTTTCTTCAGCGGTATAATGCTTCACATTTACAGGCAATTCGAGATCCTCGAACACCGTATGAAGAACATCACGACGGATAATAATTACTCGGCGAAACTCTGCGCTTACCATCATTATCGTATACACAAGTCGGTTTCTATATTATTTTATTGAACGTACATTCATTGTAAAATTCTGAATGTTGGCAAGAAAACAGTTCTCGATGGAACGATTTTGGAAAATATTCAAAAATATTGGAATCTCTCGCGAATTCGAAATCGCTAATCTCGTTTCTTTGTATACAATTATTCGAACAATACTGCTTTTGTTTCAACATTATGCGCTATCATTAAAGTCTTCTATGTGCCTTCCATGTGAACTTGCTTATAATAAGGGAAAAACAAATTGCAGATTCGCCACGATGGTGAATGACAATTTCAAAACGATCACGTCTATGCAATTCCTGAGTCATATGCTTCAATCTCTATCGGCTGTCACTGATGAAAATTAATCTGAAATTCCTGGAAATGGTCAGCTACACGCTGTGTCTGACCATGCAGATATTTCACTACTGTTGGTACGGCAACGAAGTGAAACTGAAAGTTCGTCCTCTTCCTAGATTACAGATCGAATTGCGTGATTTCACGCGTGCTCGATATCCTCGTTTCGTAGAGCCTAGAGATTTCGTACGCGGTGCGAATGGAAAGTAACTTGTGATCATTGAACGATAAATCGAAGAAGATTCTTTTACTGATCACGAGACGCGCGTTGGAACCTATCGAATTCACTGGCTGTCACATCATCTCCATGAATCTCGATTCGTTTGTGATGGTCAGTGTCAATGAAATGAGTGTTTTTCTAATCCTTTGATAGTATAATAAGAAGAATAATTTGGAACAAATAAATAATTTTCTGTCATTTTTAATTTACATAAATAAATAGATACTTGCGTTAATTAAAATTTGCAAGCAGCTTCTCCAAATCTTTCTCGACAGTCCGTATTGCCAAAGGGTTAATACGACGCTAGTGAAGGAAGATATTTTTGTGAAAACAGTTACTATCTTTTTGTGACAGTTGCTGAGGACTTCCTACTCGGCGTATAATTTACTTAAACAAAGCAACGCAGGATAGCAAAGCAGAGACAATATCGAATAACAACTATCAAATGAAACGACAAATTCACTCACGTGAAATTTAGTACGAGTGGTTTTTTTTTTTCTTGTTTTTTCACTTACACGTAGCAATAAATAAAATCTTAGTGAGAGATACAGTAGAAGTACAACGTTCCCCTTTTCGTTCTTCTTTCTCTCTGCACGAAATAACAACAAAGCCATTCTCTCGATCACCGACTCTTCTCCTTACTGTTCGCTGGAACGATACGAAAACTTCAAAGTAGTTGAGCCGAATTTTAATAATAAATGCCTTAGCCAGAAATAATAGGATATACAAGTATTGCAACGTAAGTTGGATCGTTGAAACATTAACGTAATGATATAGAACGAGTCGCGATGGGGGTAAGTGAACCGGAAACACATGCGTTCCGTCAAAAGGGTATACGAACTTGTCAATATTCTGAGACAGCCGGTAACATTTGGATCACTTACAGTCCCATTTCTCGTATTATTCGTGTTTCTGCTGCTTCTGTTTTACCGTGACAAACTAAATAGTTAATATTCGTCGAAATTTCAATAAACGATGAGAACTCCTGACGACATAAAATCGGGCTGAGCACACCAGCACGAGAATTTCGCGTCACTTTCAGCCTGTGAAAATGGCCGTGCACACGTTACAATGTTCACGTGTACTTCTTTCGATTTGCGGATGCTTGCCGCCGAGCTCGTGGACGTCGTCGTTCGCTAAATCCTTGTACAACGTTTACACGTCGTTCGTGTGGCTTTTGATACTGTCTCTCGTGTCCGCTCAGATTCTGGACATAATCATCAACGTGGAGAATCAAGATCAATTCAGCGACAATTTCTACGTCACTTTAGTGGTGTTTGTCTGCAGTTGCAAATTGAGCATTATGCTGATGCATCGTCGAAGTATATTATCCTTGATCGATAGACTCGAAAATGAGCCATTTGCCACGACGAACGACGAGGAGGTGAAAATTCGTAGCAAGTTCAACAAAATGAACGAGTAAGCATATCACTTTTTAACACTTACGTCTGTAAATGACGACTATCCTTTTATACGAAAGTTAATTTTCTTCTCAACGAGAGGCAATGAATACACGCTAGACGTTAAAGAGATTTTTTTTAAGACTTTTTGAGAAATGACACGATTGAAAAATATTAATTTTTGAGTTCTAACATAATTTCTTCTGATAGAGCGGACAACTATTATTAATGTTGGATTTTTCTTTTGTAATTAGTTTCAACTATACATGTGATATGTACAGTAGCAGATGAAAGAATTTTTGTCATTTAATAATTCTCTATTGAGTATCTTTTTTAAAACGTACAATTATCTTTTGTAATCCAATTTTGTAAAATTACAGTGTTTTCTTCCTATCTTTCCTTCTTTATTCCTTTCTCTAATTATGCAATTATTGATCAGATGATACGTCGTGCTTGTTCTTTTTTAATTTCTTAAAGCTACACGTTGATCACACATCTTAAACACTGTTGAAAAACAATATTCTCAGAAACATTTAACGTGAGAAAATAAGCCAATAAGTTGAAATCTTGGGAGAGGAAAAATGAAGGAAATCATCGAAGAATAAAAATTAACATTCTTACAGGCGAACCGCGATTGCTTACATGGTTTTAGTGAAGATCGCCGTGATATCGCTATTCGCCAGATCGTCGTTCACGAATTTCAAGAAGAGGAAATTGACTCTCCGGGTTTGGTTGCCTTACGATTATTCGGAACTGTTGCCATACGCGTTCAGTTACGCCTTCCAATTTATCACTTCGATGCTGTGCTCTTGCCAGAATGTCGCCTGTGATACCTTATTCGCTGGTTTGCTGATCCAAATTTACAGCCAGTTCGTGTTACTCGACAAACGTCTGAGAAATATGCAAAAGGACGGGAATTACTCGGCGAAGCAATGCGTCAAACATTATCAACAAATATACAAGTTCGTCTGGAATTTTCCACCTAATGGATTGTGTAATAAATTCATTTGTTTTCCGATGGTACGTTTATTCACGTTAGCTGCAATATAATAATAAAATAACAGATTTATAATTTCACCGTTTAACGCCAGAATTGCCAAAGCAGTCAGAATGACTTTTCTATAAAAAAAAAAGAAAAGAATTGATTAAAAGTTAAATAAATAATAATAAATGTAATATAATCTTAGCAGTATTAATATTTGATTACATGTA